TCCGATACAGGTCATGGTCTTTGCAATCACTTGTTATGCATCAGAGAGCTGGACAATGACTAAGGAGGATAGAAGGAGAATTGAGGCCTTTGAGCTGTGGTGCTGGAGAAGAGTATTGAGGATACCATGGACTGCTAGGAAAACACAGATTCATCCTGGAATGGGTGAAACCAGGCAGTTCTTTGGAGGCAAGGATTCTGAGGCTCTAACACACTCTGGACATGTTGTAAGGAGGGACTGGTCCTTGGAGAAGGACATCATGCTTGGTAGGGTGGAGGGACAGCACAGGAGGAGAAGGCCCTCTATGAGGTGGATTGATTCAGAGACTGGGGCAATTGGGATGGGTGTATTGGAGATGGTGCGATTGGCACAGGACAGAGCGGAATTTAGGGCCGTTGTACATAGGGTTGCTATGAGAACAACAACAATTATCAGGTCACCCTTCTTTGGAATGGGAACAAATATTGATCTCTTCCAGTCAGTTGGCCAGCTTTCTTGGCACAACTTAGCACATCCAGCGCAGTGTCTGTTGAAATACGTGTTGCTTTATTTAACAATTAAAAGATACCTATATTTTCTTAAAATAGGGTTCGATAGGTTGGAAGTCTAGGAGCTCTGGTGACCTAGTGGCAAAAACCTGCACTGCAATCCCGAAGGCATGTGGTCAAGGCCATCAGCTGCTCTGTGGGAGCAGGATGGGCAGTCTCTTGTCTGCTTGCCTCTAAAAACCTGCTGGAGGGTCAGCTATGGGTCAGTTCCAACTCTACAGCACACAACATCAGGGTGGAAGTCTATTTCAAGAATGATTAGAACATCCTAAGAACTACGTTTTTCAAAAAGTTGGCTATTCTTAGTTGTTTGACTCCTCTAATAGAATCCATACATTGAAGGTGCTCTGATGGCACAGCATATAGGGACCGGTGCTGTTAACCCAAAGGCCACAACCCTCCGTCAATTCGAATTCACCAGCATCTCTGCAGGAGAAAGATGGCCAATCTCCTCCTGTGTGATTTACAGCCTCAGAAACCCAATGGAGTGTCAGCTGTGAGTCAGAATTGACTTGAAGAGAAATGAGTAAGAATTCAAGAGACAAGAAATAGAAATAGCTGTAGTGGATGGGAAAATGGACATTTTTCTTCTTTTACTGATTTGAGTGAAACTTTATAAAGAAAATGGGTCTTTCATTCAAGCATGCATACATACTAGCTCTCATTTTATTAATCCTACCCTTTCCTGCCTTCTGGGATTTATCCTGTGGCAAATGCTGATCTTTTTTTTTTTAACACTCTATGGCATAGAATAAACCAATATAAATTCTACTTTTGACTGTATATTGCTGATTAACCTGAGAAGTACATGCCTCCCTATTGTTACTGTTCACCTTACAGGCCTATCTATTGTTTTGCTGGATGCTGAGGCAAAGGCTTGAGTTTTCTCCAGGTTTCAAGGATGTGCTAAGGAGTATAATCTCCTGAGTTCCACCAGTCTCTAGTGGATGAGTAAACTGTGCCTTTTTAAAGTCTTTGAGTTTTGTTTCACCTTTCTCCCCACTCCTTTCAGGATCCTGTACTGTGATCCCTGTTAGTGATCAGCAGTGGCACCTGGTACCATCCAGTTCTTGACTCAGGGTAGTGGAAGCTGAGGTTCAAGAGACCCATTCAGCCTCTGAACTAATGGTATATATACATCTTTGCTTTTCTTCCCTCTTCGTTGCTTCAGATAAAGAGATTAACAGTTGTACTGTCAGTGGCTGCTCGAAAGGGTTCGAGACTCCAGCTGCTACTCACCAAAGTAGAATTCAGACTATTGTCTTTGTGGACTATGTTTTATCAACTGACCCTGGAGTCTCCTGATACTGGTCTCAAGACCTCAGGACTAGCAACTCATTCCTTTGGTGTTTGGTTGTGAGAAAGAAGTTTATATAGTTCTTTTCACTGTTGGTTCTGTTATATACATGGATAAATTTACAGATGTATTAATATGAATGTAAAAATATCTACAAAACCTATGTATAGTCATGGGTGTAGGTCTTCTCAGTGTCCCTGCCTGTTTGTCTTGCCTGTCTGTATGTGTTTATATATATTATCTGCCTGTAGATAAATATTTATTATTGCTGAAATTCCTGGATTATGTATAATGTTTCTCTTGTTGGCTCTACTCTTTGTACTTTCTTCCTACCTTTCTTAATAGTACTGTGCTGATTATGTCTTTATTGTCCCTTTCCTTCACTCTTATTAATATGTATTTATTATCTATTTATTGATTTTTACTATCCTGTCACTCCCTTTTTATCCCTGGTAAAAATCCAACAATGATTCTATGTATAAACCTTTCTTTGGCTTTTTATTATAGTAGACTCAGTATTTGTCCTTTTGTGATTGACTTAGGGAGCTCTGGTGGCCTAGTGGCAAGAAGTTTCGCTGCAATCCCGAAGGCACGTAGTTCAAATCCACCAGCTGCTCTGCAGGAGAAGGATGGGCAATCTTCTCCCATGCGATTAACTGCCACTGAAAATCTTTCTTTCTGAAAGCTTGTGTTTCTTTCTGAAAACAGGTTTTTTGCTGTAACCCTTCCTTTAGCATTTTATTATAGTAGACTCAAACAGTATTTGTCTTTTTGTGATGGACTCATTTCAAACACCTGTGTTAATGTGGTGTTTCAAAAAGTCTTCATTATTCTTTAGTGCTGCACAGTACTCCATTATGTATATAATCTATAATTTGTTTATCCATAAATCCACTGATGGACGTTTCCATCCCTTTGCTATTGCAAACAATGCTGCAATGTGTGCATATATCTGTGTTGTAGCTCTTATTTCTTTAGGGTACATACCTAGTAGTTGGATTGCTGGATCAAAGAGTATTTCTATTTCCAACTTTTTAGGGAAGTGCCAAATTTCCTTCCAAAATGTCTGTACCATTTTCAAGTCAGTTTTCTTCTTTGTTTCCAAGTAAGTGTTGGGTATAGGGATGCATTTTGAAGGTAGGGTGTCTGGGAGAAGCTACTGTGCATCAATTATTATTAGGGGTGTGGGAAAAGGTGTGGGTAAGGGTGTCAGGAATAGTGCGAGGAGAGAATTGTTCAGTGACGGCATGTCATGGATTCTTGACGGTTGTCAGTCTAAAAAACAAACTCAACTAGAATTAGGCTAGAATTTCAGTTTTCACTGGAAGGTGTTTTCTGTACCACAGTGAAATTGCTACTTTTAGTCTGAGATTAATATTGCTGTAGTTCCAGTACTTGATTTACATATATGAATAAACAAAACTTTTGAGGGCAGAAAAACAAGAACAAAGAGAAGGAACAGTATACAAAAGATCTGAATTATGCTTTCCACTTCCAAACTGAAATGAAATAATACAAGTTTTGAAAAATTCTGTTATGTTCTATTAAAATAGTTTCTGAGAATCCATTTTGACAACTATATTCTGAACAGAGCAGTCACTAATCAAGAGAAGAAAAGAAGGTAGAGTTCCTATGTCTTCCAAATTTCTTTGGACTATTCTGGGTTTTGGTCTAGGGACATGAAATGAAGATGTTGAAAACTAACGAGAAGTACCTCACTCATGTTCAAGTTATTTATACACATATACTCACATACACACACAGACAGATCCACTGTACCTAATGACTAAAGCCATTTAGGGCGAATGCCAGAGAACCAGCTCACTGGGGTAACAATTTCTTAGAAGAGTGCCTACCTGAATAGCTGCAAATGCCAGTGCTGCCCAGATAACGTGCATCATAATTTCTTGTAGCTTCTTCACAACTAAAGCCTCACACCCCTGAAACAAAGGATTACCTACATTAGGAGTCTTTTTGAAACATCAAAGCTTCAGAGTTGCAAATTACTACTTATTAAAAGAAACTAAAAGATGAAAAAAAGATCAAACAATGAGAGCTAGAGTTAGAAAGGTAATTAGAACAAAAAGATAATGTATCTAAAAATAATTTTACAGTAAAAGAAAACTACATTAAAGCACGTGTGGGTGGAAAAGAAGTTCATGGTAGAGGTTAAGACACGGAGGAAAGCAAGTTATCAGGCCAAACTCTTAGCCAAGAGACAAACCCACCTCAGCGTACAGATCAGAGGGGTGGGCCAAACTGCCATTGCAGCTGCTGGCGGTCTCTCTGCAGCAGCTAAGGGGGACACTCTGGTTTTTGGTTTCTTTGAACCAGTCTGTATTTTCCCAGTCTGAGTAGTTGTGAATTCCGCAACAGTGCAGCTGGAGGAGACAGAGGAGAATGGAGCTGTTAATTCTCATGAAGCACATATCTTGGCACAGTTTTTGAGTTTCATGCTCTACAGGGCTTTAATTTTCCCCCCCTAAGAACAGATGGTGAAGAGATTGAGATAGTTCACAGCTTCAGTTTGCTCGGCTCCACAGTCAACACTCTTGGCACCAGTAGCCAGGAAATCAAAAAACGTATTGCGATGGGAAAGTCTGCGGTTAGGGACCTCTCTAAAGTACTCAAGAGCAACGGTGTCTCTCTGGAGACTAAGGTGCGCCTGATACAGGCCATGGTTTTTGCAATCACTTGTATGCATCAGAGAGTTGGACAATGACTAGGGAGGATAGAAGGAGAATTGACACCTTTGAGCTGTGGTGCTGGAGAAGAGTATTGAATGTACCATGGATTGCCAAGAAAACAAATAGATTCATCCTAGAGAGGGTTAAACCAGGCTGCTCCTTGGAGGCAAGGATTCTGGGGCTTCGCCTGACATACTTTGGACATGTTATAAGAGAGACAGGTCTTTAAAGAGGGACATCATGCTGGGCAGAGTGGAGGGACAGTGCAGGAGGGGAAGACCCTCTATGAGGTGGATTGATTCAGTGACTGGAGTAATCGGGATGGGTGTGTCAGAGGCAATGAGATTGGCACAGGATAGAGCAGGATTTAGGGCTGTTGTACATAGGGGAGTCGCAAACGACTCAAAGGCACATAACAACAACAACAAAGAAAAGCTATGCTAGATATTCTCAACAACTTTTTTTTTAAAGTAGCAGCAAAGTCCTCTGTGAGAAAAAAAAAGTGTTATCTAATAGAACTTTCTGCAGTGGTGGGAGTGCTCTCTATCTCTATGTCACCCAATGTCTCCACTGTCATTAGTCGTATGAGACCATTCGGCATGTAAAATATGGATACTATGACCAAAGAACTGAATTTTTAATTTTAATAGCCATGACTGTATTGGCAGTGTGGCTCTAGAACCTATACATAATAATCACTTTGCCTAAAAAGAGTAGTTTGCAGATAAAGATAACTGCTTCCAATGGCAAAGTGTTAAATCATTTTTGTCTGCACTGTCTCAGTCCATGGATCTATTTTATATTACCCTCTCTACTCCTGTGCCCATAATTACTTATGTATTAACCATTCTGTCTACTGCTTTTTTCAGACTTTCTAAAAAATCTCTGCAGACTTTCTACCTGCCCTAGAATTCACTTGGATTTCTACCTTTTCTGTGACATACCTCTCTTCCATCATCACTTCTCTAGCTAATTACTATTAGTTGGAGGGGGAAGGCTGGGGACAGAGTATGTTAGTTTTAAAAAAGTCTGATGCTGTTTCTCTGGCTTTGAACAGGTTATGGGGAAAAAATCTTTCAAGGATGAAGGTTGTAATAAAACATTAAAACATATCAGGGTGGCTAATCATGACTGCACATGGCTAATTTACATATACATGTAAAGGTACATTGTTAATTTACACAGAATTTAACAGAATTTAGTTTCTCGTTAACCCAACAGTGACTAGTCCTGACAAGCAAAGCCATACCAGGACAGCTCACCTGTCTCTGAACATAGTCAATGGCCCGACTAGCAGCATCAGGATTGGTTCCATTATAGGTCTTATACACCTTCTGGATTCTGCGATCAACTTCATTTTCAACCTGAATCAAAACAAAAAATTTGGCTTCCAAAAAATACTAACACAGAGTAACATTAGTGACGGCTACACTGAAAGGCTTAAAAAGCATTTTTTTCTGTGATATACATTTTTTAATATTTTAATGAACGTTTATAAAGAACGTGGATTTCCATTCATTCATTGTTGCACACTTTCCCGTCACTCCTCCGCCCCAGTTTGCTTTTTTTCTTTGGAAAAAAAAAGTTCTTTCATTTTTATACAGTCCCCCTCCCTAAAATAGCTTATTTGTAAATTGCCAATACTCTTGTGTATTTCTTGGAAGAAAAAATGTTTTCTTCCTGCCTCTCAGATTCAGGGCAATAGAGAAAAATGCATCTAGATGATACTGTATGGATTAAAACATTCAAAGGGAAGGTTCTGTGCAAGATGGCAGTCGAACAGTGTGTTTAAGACAGAATAAGCAGTTCAGTTTGGGGATTAATGTCTTAAATTATAAATGGATCATGTTCCTTTTTCAAATGTTTTCAGTGTGTTCCCAGAAGACCCACTCTCTTTTTTCTCTTCCCTCAAAAGAGGTAAAAAACGAAAGAATTTTAAAACTCCCAAAAACATTCTTAGGATAAATGCCAACAGTATTTCTATTTTACATATGAAACATTTAAATTTGGCAAATGTGCAAAATGTGCTAAAGCAGGCTCAAAAAACCCCAATAAATCAGCCCTTAAAAGTACTACTTTATAAGAAAGCTACAGTTTAATGCATGCCTAGAGGAGACAGAAAATAAGCTTTTATAATTTCTTGCTGCCAATTACAAAACAATGCCATTTAATAAAGTTTGCTTGCAGCTCTATTTTCCTTAACCTTCTAAGATGATTAGACCTATTTCGTAATTATTGATTTGATAAGATCGTAAAACTGACAACCACATTATATAATTCCCCGCATTTCCTGTATAGCTGCATGGTACTAGAATATTAAGTTGGTATATTGTGCCTTTGACTTAAAACATTAATTTAAATGAAAATTAGTCTATTAAGCCTTTATCATAGTTCCAGATAATTAAATAATTAACACCAATTAATTCAATAGTTAAGATAGTTAATTTAAAGCAGCCTATTTAGCCTTGAATGGTCCAAGAGGTAGAAAGTAAAAGCTGGCAAAATAGAAGAGAACAGGAAGTGAAAAGGAAAGAGGGAATTAAGACAAAGGAAAAGGAGCGACTATCCAGCCTTGTTTCTTAGGACAGAGCTAAAGAAAAGATCACAGCTCAAACTCATTCTAAAAAAAAAAAATGTATTTAGGATCTAGGTGGTTGTTTTAAAAAAAGACAACCGAAAATGAAACTTTTAATTTCATTCTTTTAAAAGAGAAATCAGAAAAATTTGACTTCGTCCTTCTCAGATAGGAAATCTATGGGCTCAGGAAATTTGAATAAAATTATCAAATGACTTAGCTCCTTCTGAGAAAATCAATTCCCTATAGTCAACAGCGGCATAATTTTGCTACATTAAAAGAGATGATGTTTCAAGATAGAGACAATTTTTTATTAACATTATATACTTTTAGAAAAGAAAACCAGCAAACTATTGCCCTGATTCATAGCATAGGACAGAGTAGGTCCACCCCATCAAATTTCCAAGGCTATGTTATCTTAACTTCAGCAAACTGCTCTTTCTCCTGTGGGTTCGAACTGCTGACATAATAGCTAGCAGCTGAGCACCAGGACATCAGGGTTCCTTCAGGTATTTATTTAATGCAGTCTAAGCAGGAGTGGCATCCACTTCCTAAACAACATGCCTCTGGAAACTCTATTAACTTTGATAAATGTTGATAGTTGTAGAGGAGCTTAAGGCATTTTGTTCATACGGTTGTTATGAATCATGTTCGACTGGAAGGCAATCAACAACAACAGTAAGCTGAAATAAGCCAAAAAATAAACAAAAGCTCCCTACTTTGGGAAAATTAATTTGTTCTATTTTACATTTTAAAAAAAATGTAAACCACCTTTTTAATCATGTAAACTCAGCAGACAACATACCTTTGCTCTGTAAACGTATCCCAGAACCACTACCACAACTTCTGTGACAAAAACCAAGAGTAGGATGATGACAAACTGTAAAGAAATATTGGCAAAAATTAAGCACAAATGAAAAAAAAAAGCCCTAAATGCTCCCTTGTTTTTTAAAAAAAAATTATGAGAAATGACTATTAGCTGTTAAAGGAGAAGAGCTAATTCTTTTAACAGTCTGTTTCAGGCTCAGTTCAAGAGAAGCATAACACAAATTAAATTCCCGTGTTTGATGAGGACCACATGCTCTGTGAAATGCTAACTTACCGTGGCTAGTCCGCAGCGGCTTTCCCGGATTGTGGCGCAGCAGCCAATTAGCCCAATAATGAAAAGCAGGGCTCCAACCGCTATGATCACTACGGCTGGGATGAGAGTGTACACATCTTCAAAGAAGTGGTCATAATCATCGTAAGTGATGAAGACATAAGCGCCTACGTAGCACAGAATGCCTGCTGCTCCCTGTAGAAAACAAGACCAGAGCGTTGGCACAAGTCTCTATGCCTTGCTGGTAAAATGTGCCCATTACTTCTTGGTGGTTTGTAACGTCATGAGAGTTCTCATCACTTTTATAATCTGTTTCTTTGTTCATAGTACTTTTCCTGAACAAATGGGTAAATTAGGTTAAAGTGGCCAGGCTAAGATTTTAATCCGGGCAGTCTGACTCAGAATCTGAACTATTCACCTTGATTTCCTTGAGGAAAGGAAACTTAACACACACACTCCTCACTTACTGTAGACCTCATACCTGATATATTCTGTGTATGATCACAGTAAAAAACAATCTACTCCCCATCCACTTTCCACATTCACTAGATACCTCTGGCTGAGAGGTGAGATGAGAGTGATGTGGACTGTGATAATGACAGTTATGTGTCAACTGGGCTGGGCCACCATTCCCAGTGGTTTGGCAGCTACACAATGATGAAATGTGGCAATTATGTCATGATGCTGTCATTCTCGTGTGATATGATGTTATCATCCTCTACTTTCACCTAACAAACTGATCTTTGCAACCTAACCATGTCAGTAAGTGAAGATGAGTATTTGAACTAGGCACCACTTGCTGTTCAACTTTTAGAGACTATGAAATGGTAAAGTGGTAAGGTTCAGTCACCATACAGCATCACAAACCCTCATAAAATAGGAATAAGAATCATCTGAGGATCTTATTAAGCTATAGATTCTAAATCACATAGGTTTGGGCTGGGGACTAGGTTTCTGTGTTTCTAACAAATTCTCAGGTCACACTGCTACTGCTGCTGGTTCTTGGGCCTGTCAGCCTTTACAATACTGGTTATTTACTCCTCCGCCACGGAAAACACATTTCATGTCTTAAAACCAGGGGCCCAGTAAGCATAAGTATTATCAGTATTTTCTTACATTAAAACATCAGAATCACTGTCAGATCTTGAAGAAAAAGACTCCATATATGTAATCTGATTTTTCCTGTACAGCATGATTTTTAGAAATGAGAAGACCATTAGAATAATGGAGGCAATTAAAATTATTCATTCTTTTAAAACTGTCCACCTTAGGTCACCAAGGGGTTCCAATGACTTCTCTAGCGGCTCAGTTTCCCCTTCCATTCAACTCTTCTTTACCAGATTAACACAGAGGCAGTCTTCAGGGTCCCCTTTGCCAGGATCCTGTCTGCCTCCATGAGCCATGGCTTCACTAGTCATTACCACCCTCTGCCAAAGCTACAGTCTCAAGAGCTACGTACTCCCGGCTGGAAATCCCTCAAAACCCCCATTCCTCATCCTACCTCAAAACATCGTGGCTTTGTTGCTATCTCATCTAGACTTCCTTTCCTCTTTCTGTCTTGGAAAAAGCCAAACTATACACCCAGTTTCTCTAATAAAATATCTGAGGGTTACCCTGTACTTTAGGATGCTCCTTTAAGTCCATTTCTTCAAGTTCACTGCAGGGCTTGTCACAATTTGTGATTTATCATTATTCATTCAAAAAGATCATGTTTTAGCTTCTTGGCCCCCAATAGTCTTTACATTGTCACCCAGGCTATTTTGTGGTTTGTTTTTATTTTTTAAATACAAACCAGATATAGGCAACATTCTTTACTAGATGCTTGCCTCCTTCAAGATGAGAAAGACAGGACCTTTGAAGCTGCCTCAGACTTCATCAACACCCTTCACACACTCTGAGCAACAAAATACTGCTATCCCCAGATTCCCCACCCACTCTTGCTTCTCTGCCTCTGCTGTCCTCTCCGGAATGCCCTTTCTTCTCTTCATGTGTCCAGGAAGTCCTAATATGTTGCTTAGCTATTGCCTCTTCTGGAAGTCATTTTTACTTTCAGGCTGGATCAGGCGGCTCTCATCCACTCATTCTCACACACCATGTACTGCCCCCGCAGAACATTTATCATGTGTGTCGCATTTACAGCTATATGTATCTCAACAAGCCCTGAGGGCACAAGATGTGTCCAGCTGTCTTTCAGCTCTGCATTACACCTGCATTTACAACAATTCTTGGCACACAGCAACATCAGTCATAATTTACTGAATCTTTATAATCTTAGTCCTACCTTTCCTTGCAATTATTCTTCTCACCCTTTCAAAAGATTTGGTTTTTACATTTGCTTTGTTTATATCTGTCCCATGTATAGTCTTCAGTTTATAGTCAAACATGACTTGGCAACTTAATTCCACATACTGAATTCTTGTTGAGTTCGAGCACTCACAGATTTCACCGTATATGTAAAGGTATGGATTTTTGTATCATATCACATAAATGGTCAAATATAAGTAGTAGTTTATAAGAAGTAATTCTGTAATAAATGTGCCAAACCATTAAGCTGTTTCTATTCTCTCCCTGCTGGGCCTCCCTTTAACCCATAAAGCACATGTGCCTGTAAACTCTGAGGATGTCTGAACAGCCTTGGTTGCTATTAAATGCATCATTTTTATTTATGGCTTGGCCTTTTGTGATGTGATCCAAACATTCATACCATGACAGACATGGTAAAATCTGTGAGTGCTAGAACTCAACAGGACCACCCTGACTTTCCAAATTTTATAAATTTCCCACCTATAACGGGCAGTATTACCACTTTTGTATGACTTTTTATTAGTGGAAATTACTTGAGTTTTCTACCTTTCACAGGCTCCAGTCACTCCGGCGTCTCTTGTATAGACATAGTCACATTTTATGACAAAGTAAATCACTTCAGCTCTTAAGGTGAATCAGCAGAAATCTTAAGAAAGAATTAAATGTGCCTGAGTTTTCCTACACTAGCCACCACTCCATCCCTTCAATTTTTTTTCCACTTCAAAATGTTACAATTTTATAGTATGCTTACGTGAAAAAGAATTCCATTTTTATGCTTCTAGGAAGTAAAAATTTAGCCTACATAAATTTGAACAAAATACAAGTTAATACTGTAAGATATACAGCAGTGTGTACTCAATAATTTGAAGTACAAGGCACTGAAGAACTATTGTACATTTCAGACATAAAATAATGCGTTTTCAAGCTGAAAAGAATCCTCTGAGAATTTTGCTCAGTGCTGCTTGATAATGGGCCAAGTGAAAGGCTTCTAGTACTGTCAGCCTCCACCCACACAGGGACACTCATTGGAAATCCAGACAATGAGAAAGCCAGAAAAAAACCCCACCAACAGCAGATACCACCACATGTGTGGCAAAAGAGATACAAGGCTAGAAAAAGACACTATTTGTAAAGCTGCTTATTCTTTTTTAAAAAAACAAAACAAAGAAACTTTTCTTTCTGGTGAAAAAGTACATGCATAGCAACATATGTACCCCTTCCACATGTACAGTTCAGTGGCATGAGTTACTATTGTCTGTACATCAGGTCGGACCCAAGCCATAGCTAACTCTCTAGTGGGTTTTTAGAGGCAGTAAACTGCACAGGGGTTGACTGTCCATCTTTCTCTCACAAAGCAGCTGGTGGACTTGAACCACATACCTTTGCACTGGCAGTGAGATTCCTTACCACTAAGCCACCAGAGGTCCCTGGGTTACTGTGGTACATTGAATTACTCGGACGGCCTTTCTAACTCTATGGTCTTTCTAATTCCCAACCACATGAATGGGTAGTCCTGGGCAACTATGAGGCAAAAATATGACCCACCAAGGGGATCATATAGCTTGCTATAATGTTAATAAGGTACATGGCATTCTTAAGGGGTAGAACCACACAAAAATGTTGTATTAAATACTGTCAGGGCGACCAGTCAGCTTTGCCATTCCACGAGACTTGAAATAAGCTTTCCCTCTGTTAGAAAGGGGCCTTCTCAGGAGTTAAGTACATCCTTTGGACTTGAGACTCCTGTGCCAGGAACCTCATTCAGGAACTAAAAAGCTGTGACACCAGAGACAGTACAGAACAGTGAGAAATAGTAGCAGCAGCACCAAGGGATTGGCAGCGACAGAGCCACTGGCTTTCTGGTCCACAGACAAAGTCTGGGAGTGCCTGTAGGAAAGGATGCCCGCTGGTAGAGTGGGGTGGGCCTGGAGGCATTCTAGAGGGAGCAAGGTTTGCCAGCCTGCAGAGCTGGAGCGGGGTGTGTGTGGGGAGGAGTAGGGGTCAGGGCGCTTCGAAGTCATTCTTCTGGCAGAGATAAAAAAACTTCGTTAACACTTGCCTGAGTAGGGCAGAGGCTATGGGGTTTCAGTGCTGAAAGGCTGAGGGCCAGAGGGAGGCATGCCAGCCCACTGTCAAAGCTTAGAAGAGGCTGTCCTGGTGAAGAACTGTATCATGAGTCATTTTTTATCCTGAATGATAATCTGTTACACTTCCCTAATTAACCCTATTATCCTGAGTATTGTCAACGGGTTGTGTGCAGCCACGACAACAATTCCTGAGTCTAGGACAGAAGCAGAGTGCTTGCTATGGAAGGGACAATTGGTGGCAGAATTGATAAAAAAGGTAAGGTCTATCCAAGTGACGTGGATTCTCTCTACCTCTGTGACATTAGAGGAGGTCAAAGTTGCCCGTGTACCATTTTTGCAGTTAACATTCTTCATGTTGTTGTTTGATATTTATTCTATTCAAATTATTTTATCACCATCACCACCTCCTAACCCTCTCATCTATGCTGTTAAAATTACTGTGACAAACAGATTCTTTAAAGAAGCATAATGCTCAAGGCAAACTTTCTTTTTTTAAAAAAACTCCTAATGTATAAATTCTTTTCTAATGGATTCTGGAGCAGTTCTTAGGTTACAAATCAGTCACCATCCCATTCTCGCAGCAGAGATGAGATGCCAATGCCATTCCATTTTGGCTTCAGAAGCGAGAAGTAACTTACTAGCTGCAAGCGTTGTACACACAGAACAGTGGGAACACTGCCTGCCTGCTAGTATGCGATGATATAAATAAAAGTACTTGTAAATAGAGGCTGTGTTTCCTACATTGAAGACAACTTCAAAACTGTCTTCTTTTAGCAGAATCTAAAGTGCTGTATCTTAAACTGT